CCACAAAAAACAGCCCTCAAGAAGACATGGGCCGCCATTACGTCCTCCGGGATCGATGTTGATGGCTTCCAGCTAGTCCCAACAAAAAAGAGGAGACAAGAGCCAGCCCCAGGCATCCGAGAAACGGCGCCCTCGGCATCCTCAACCCCACATGCTAGGCAAAGGAGGCTTCTTATTCGGTCGGTGGAAAGAGGCCGCAGAATAGGAGCAGCAGGACTGTCACCAGCCAGGATCAGAGATGCGGTCAACTCTGCGTCCAGGGTTAAGTTTGCGTATGCAGAATTTAACCGCAATGACAACCTGGTACTCACCACTATGGGAGACCTGCCGGCTGAACCAGCCCTTGACGATGTATCAGCAATCACCAAAGCTCTAAATGGGATCGATGTCTTTGGCTTCAATATCGCCACGGATACACCGTCCATCAACATCGTCATCAATAGTATACCACTAGGCAACGAAGACTGGACACCCAAAGAATGGGACTTAGACTCCGATAGGTGGGAGGACCTGGAAAAGGAAATCTCTGAATACAACCCACAGGTCCGACTATTAGACAGACCTAAGTGGCTCAGATCCCCGACAGTACTCAAGGCTGAAGGAAAAGTCAAGTCCTCGGCAATCGTAGTGGTGGAGGCAAACGATTGGATCATGGCGGAAACAAGGAAGCCCCTTCCAAGCATGGCCATCTTTGACATGAGATGCATCTTCTGAAAATATGTGAAGAAAGACTGGTCAACCTGCTGTGCGAGATGCCTATAGTTTGGACACCACGCCGTCCACTCCAGGATGGAGGCCATATGCAAATACTGCGGGGGGAGACACCATACTAAAGACCACCTCTGCGGACAGACGTACTGTATGGCAGGAAAGGGAAAGATGTGCTCTCACACCCTGAGAAGATGCGTTAACTGTGAGGAAACCTCTCACTTCGCCGGAGATAGCCACTGCCCAACCAGAACTAGGGCAAAATCCCCGGCACAACCCCCTACGGCAGCCGACAGAGGAAAAGCACCAGCAGCGCTGGCCCCCCCCCCCCGACGCCCAAATAAATAGTTGGTGACAACAGATATAATATATCACAACGTCGGCGGGTCCATGAACGTTGTCACCGAGTTACTGAAATTCTCAAAAAAACGGAAACCGAAAATAATAGCGATTGCAGAATGCCCTCTTGAGAATCAGGACTGAATACATCTGGAAGGATTTACATGCTACGCGAGCACAAAGGCGATGAAATATGGCTGTGCCATATACATTTTAGATAAATACGTGCACATGTTTGTGGTCGAACGGATAACGTCACAATACATCACACTGTGGACCAGAGGCACTGAAATTACCTTTGGCTACCAGAGGCCTTCGGCAAAGGACTTTGACACAACAGACCGGTGGCACACACACGGGGGAAGCAACATCCTGATAGGGGACATGAATGCACACCACTCCACATGGTCACAGGGACACCAGAACACGGCTGGAGTAAGGCTAGCCAGATGGATGGACGACAGGGACATGGCAGTAAGAAACCTCCACGTAATCACCCACCCGCCCAACGCGACCAACCCAAATGGAACAACCCTGGACCTTGTTGCTACCGACAGAGGACAAAGGATCGAAGTACGGGCACTGGATCTGGCAACAGCAAGCCACAAGGCACTGGTAATTAAAACCAGTTTCACATGGAAGGACGACGGGGAAAAGCCGCTAAGGCACAACAAAGCGGACTGGGAAGCCATTAGAGCTGAAATCAGCCTCATGGACGACCACAAGGACCACCCAGCCGAAGTGCAAAAAGAACTCACGCGCATAGCCAGAAGACACACCCCCCTCAAAAAACTGGGAAGCAAGGCCTTCTGGAACAAGTCCCTGCAGCAAGAACGAAAAGAGGTCCTCAGGCTCGTACATAAATACCCCCGGTACCCGGAACTAAAAGAGAAAAAGAAGAACCTGCGGAAAGCCATAATGGAAGCCAAAATCGAAGCTAACGGGAAAGCACTTCAGGAAGAAACAGATCCCGAATGCTTTAGGACAGTCCGGCCAAGGACCACCAAACATCCCATACCGGCGCTCTCTAAGGAAAACGGTAAAGTGGTAGCGGAACACGGGGATATCGCCCAAGAAATCCACACAGCCCTATATGGAGGAGAGAGGAGACGGACCAGAGGACAAATAAACAAGAAACCGTAACCACTGCAAATAGAAACCCTAGACGAGTCTATTAAACAGTCACCGAACGGAGTGGCAAGTGGACCAGACAATATCACTACCAGGCTCGTGAAATGCTTTAGGAAAATGCGGGAACCCCTTTTCCTAAGGATGATGAACCGGGCATGGAGAGAAGGAATCCCAGAAAGCTGAAAGGTCAGTACCACCATACTGATACCCAAGCTAAACAAACCTTCATACACAGTGGCAAAAAGTTGGAGACCGATACAGCTACAATCTATACTGGCAAAGACCCTAGAAAGAGCGGCAGTCATACGAATAGCAAGGCTCGAAATCCTGGAGGACAATATGTTCAGAGGGAGAAAGAGATATGGCACAACAGATGCCATACAAGCCCTAAACGACGTAATAGATACAACGGGAAAAGCCGGTAAATGCATCACCACCCTCGATGTCCAAGGGGGATTTGACCACCTACTGATGGATAAGGTATGCGACAGGCTCGGAAAGCACTCAGGCCACCTAGCACAATGGGTCCAGCACCAGGCCACCGACAGAACGACTAGCTACCGGTTTAATGGCAGAACGTCCAGAGGGTATGCTACTGACAAAGGCACACCACAGGGCTCCCCTCTATCACCGATACTCTTCCTGATCAGTATGCTAGAAACAGCAAAAGTGCAGGCAACGCCATCCCAGAAAGCGGAAACCAAGGTCTTGATGTACGTGGACGACATCTTGATAGCAACAACATACCGGGACATGGGAGAGGGAAAAAGGATACACCAGGCAACCATTAGAGGACTGGAGGAAACCGCAGCCAAAGACGGGTACGAATTCGCACCCAGCAAAGCCGAAACAATCTTCGTACAGACACCACCGCAGAACAAATTTGAAGTCCGCCTACGAGGCCAGGAAATACCCGGCCAAGGCCATCTAAAGTGGCTCGGATACTTCCTAACAGGCAAATGGAAATGGGACCACCATGTCAGGCACTGGATCAATAAAGCCACCAGCTCCGGGCACCGCATAAGGGCAGTAACGTCCAGATACAGCAAAGGGGGGTTGAATGCGGGGACAACACTGCGACTAATCAAGGGCCTGATAATCCCACAGTTAACATATGGAATAGAGACATGGGGAAACAAAGGCCTGATAAGAGAAGCGCAGGCGGCCCTCAACAAGATAATCCGAACCGCCTTCCGGCTGGAAAAGAAAACACCGGTCTTGGCCTTCCTTACCAAACTCGGGATCCCGCCACTGGACCTCATGATGCAGTTCAGACAAAACTTGCTGGCGCTACCAGCCAACACCAAGGACCGCCACAACACTTGGACAAAGAGATGGATGTCCAAACATGGGGCAGAAGACATTATCGCCACCACCGGTAATTACCAGCTAGGTAAAGACGCACTCAAAGACCGACTGCAGCAAAGCTGGACAGAAAGAGTTGCCAACGAAGGGAACAGATACCAAGGAAGACCCGGTAAATCGCACAAGCACCTACACTCCCTAACCAGGCAAAACTTCAAAAGGCTGCTAGGGTTAAGGGCAATGGCGGGTTGGCCATACCAGGAGATAACCGGCGCCAGAAGGCAATGCCTGTGTGACTGAGACATAATACCCTTTGACCACCTAGCAAACAGATGCAGGATAACAACCGCCACGACAATCGGACTCCACGACAATAAAAGGCAAGGCGAACTTCTTCAATGGATGGACGATTGGCCACAAGAACTTAAGGGAAAACCGGAAATGGACAGAAACGATGATGGTACCCAACAGCCAGACTCTGCCCAAGTGGTCGGAGCCAACTTTAACCTACCCATGAGCCAACCAACACAGAAACCGGCAAAACCCAGACCACAACGGCCTTGCATGATATGCGGAGAAGCGGTGCTAAGGGACGTACAGCATGAGTCGGCACATGCCCAAAAGCACGACCTGGCGAGAAAGGGCCGATAGACTACAACGGCGGAAGACACGGAGGAGGCGCCCAGTGGACCAGGGGAGCAATGCTGGTCAGATTGTTATTTCATAATGTACACGACCACTGGGCCTAGGGGGCAGGCGTGGGTTTCATTTGTTTGTTTGGGTCTCCTTTGTTCACGACCATGGGGCCAGGGGGGCAGGAATGGGTTTTCTTTGTTGATGGATTTTATTTTGTCTACAACCATGGGGCCGGGGGGCAGGAATGGGTTTTCTTTGTTGATGGATTTTATTTTGTCTACAACCATGGGGCCGGGGGGCAGGAGTGGGTTTCTTTTGTGTTGGATCAAAGCTGTTTGAGGGAAAGGAGAAGGGGGGAGCTGGAGTTTCTTTTGTATGGCCTACAGGGGGGTGTAGTGAAGGTTTTCATTAAGGGGGGCCCAGGGCTGGGGGCAGTATCCCACGCCGTACTCCGATTACTTTAGTTAGTAGGTGAGATAGTGGAAGAATAAAAGGTTTACACACACACACACACCCTCAACGACCAGCATCCCCCCCGCCCGCCAACTATTTTTCTCTTTCCCCCCTTTAATATGGATGGAGGTATAGAGAGAGAGAGACCCTGGTCCCCATATAGTAAGTGCTAGGAGGAGGGCTTAGTACGGCGGAGCGCGCGGGGGGGGCGATAGTACGCGGAGTATCGTAGTTTGAGTAAACCTTTGCCGCTCGTACTGCCATAGCGTCGAAAAGTGATACATACCCTTCACTTTGCTCGGAGCAAGCTGCGGAAAGCAGTGAGGTTTCTACTACCCACCAGAGGGCACTATACCTTCTAGCCTATAGGAACGGCGGACCTTGTGCCTGTGCATTACTACCTCCCCCTTGGTCGCTTGTCCAGAGCGGAAGTGGAGAAAACTTTTAATGAAAAGCAAAATATGACCATGCTATGTCACAACACTCTCCTATGTCGCCACCCTGATTGATAAAACCTAGATCAAACGCAAAGGGTGAAAAAAATGAAAAAAATGAATAGAGAAATGTTAATGATATCTTACATAAAAAAAAACCAAAAAAAACATCGATTTTACGCCCGCAACTCTCGTATATGTCAGGTTTCGTCACGTCAAGTTTTTAGTCACGTTCCTCTTCTTCGGACCCCAATGGTCATCACAGCAAAAAGTGTAAAGTTAGTGCCATAAATGAATGGGCGAGGGAATCCATTGTCCATGCATTGCGTTCATGGGACAGCCCAGTCAGCCAGCGTTGATTCTTTCTTGGGCCTCTTCAACGCACTGTTGGCTCAAATTAACACCTTGCTATCAGAAGAGAGAGTGTGGGATGGAAGTGTCCGCACCTTATCCCAGTTGGTCCTAAGGATAATGAAGGACTGCAAACTTGAGACGAATGCCAAGGCAACCACAACACCGCACCACAATCCCATAAGCTTCCACCCAAGGACGAAGGCGCAAATCACGGATACGGGCATCGCGATACCGTAGTACCCGATGATGTTGATGTAACTCCCGATATGTTGTCGCCCTAGTGCAGTATCATACCATGAGTATTTCGGGCCGAGTGATACACAGAGTATACTACAACAAACCTTGTCCTCTGAGAAGCCCAGACCCGAGACACGCCAGTGCGTCATGGGGCTGGAAAGCCGCAGTCAAGGGCATGACACGCACAACAAGCGAGATAATCTCGGCGTTGGCGGTAAACAACTTGGCAAACTGTTTGCGTACGCTGAGCATTGCGCAGCAATTGAAGATACCCACGGCAATTGCGACCACGAAGCCTGTACGTGCGGAAACTTTCGCTGCGTCACCCATAGCCGCACCCAGGAAATTTGCTACCCGGGTAGAACTAGCGATAGAGAGAGCGAATCCTAGTTGGTAGGTAATTGTAGCTCCAGTCGAGATAATCGATTGGGCAGCAAGGTACGATGTTCCAAAGCGGGCGGACATTAGTGTCAAAAGTTCGAAGGCCAGATATTCTGCTTCTATCATCGCTAGGCCAGGAAGGCTGAGTTTGATCTATATGGAGAGTTAGTTGCATGCTGCTCTGTGCTCCCGCGGCGAGATAGGCGGGAGGGAAACGGGGAGGGAAAGGGTACCATAGGCCACCAGTTTTGAAGCCCTCTCTTAGTGAACCCAGTCCAGCACTCACGACCATCGATAAAATAGACATAACAGAATAGTAGGATTGGCATAAGCCAATCGACAATAACGACAGCAAATGGTGCCCCATTGAACCCAACTCCGATTGTTGGATGCTAAAGTTACAAATTAGTAAGCACCCCCTCATTCACAACAATTGATTCTATATCTACACACCCAGACAAGAAGATAATTCAAGACAGCGTTTACAGGCGCACAGATGAGGAGCACGAAGGTTGATGCAGCGAATATGCCTAGAAACAATATGAGCTAGGGTCAAGAGCCAAGAAAAAACAGATGTGGAAAAGGAAAATAAAATAAAAAGGATCAGGGTGCTTGCCCTGGGCTTGAGTGAACCTCTTCCCTGCTTCGAATAGCGCAAATCCAGGTCTTTAAAAATATAACAAACTTAGCTAGAGCCTCGCATGCAGCGGAGTAGTGAATAACGTGGCGGGAACTTACGCTCCAATAGTCAAGATACGCAAGTATCTACCCGATAGCACGGCCAATTCTGGCTCAGGAACCATTGCGTGAAGAATCGGCTCCGCAAAGCACCAAGCGGTGATGATTGGAACAGAAACCAACCCAAGGAACCATATCATTCGCTGTAAGTGAAGGCCCACAAGAGCCTTGTTTCCCGATCCATATGCTTGTGCACACAATGTATCCAACGATGTACTAAGCCCTATGCATAACAAACGGTGAGGCCAAAAGCTTTCACAAATATCGTAAGGGGGAAAGAGAGATCGCAAGCCGGAGTTTTTTTTTTTTGAAACATACCTTGAAATACAGCATAGCCGGTAATGTTTGCAGTCATGCCTGCCAGGGTAACAGCAGCAAGTTCATTTTTCCCCAACGTTCCAGCTGAAAAGAGAGATGCAAATGTTAAACTGTATTGTAGCAAGAAGGTGAGCCATAAAGGCGCAGTGCATTTCACAAGCATCCTTGCCTCTCTGGTGTACGAAGTGTACACTGTGCCAGCAGCGGCTGCCTCATCCCACTTTGATATATTGTTAGGGTGACCCCCGAGAAGGCCTGTTGTCTCTGTAGTAAGTGTCGTCTCTAAGCTGCCACCGTCCTGTGTTGTCGACCACGACGGCGAGGACGACAAGGCTTGCCGAGCAGACGTAGCGAGGGTTCCGTAATCTGACGAGATCACCTTACTACCCTTCAACAAATCTTGCTCCTCTCTACCCATTTTTTCACTCTCGGGCGGCGGCAGATATTCTAGGTTTCTAGGAATTGGCGAGGAAGGGATTGCCACAGGGCAAGTGCTAAACGTGAGAGAAGGGCGACGATAGTTGCCCACAAGAACCCGATTTGGAGGCCCTGGCTGGTGGTGAGCGACTAAACTAAGTGAGGGTCTTTCTGGGTTGGTCAATTCCTCCTCAATCCGACTCCCGCCAGCAAGGGGCAGAGGGGCAGAGGGTTTATGACCACTGGATCCTTCAGCAGGGTCTTCGCCGCCATTAACACGGTTATCTGCACTACGCTTGGACATGCCAGATATGCCCTTGGCAGGTTATCTGTAGGGGTCTCAACAATCCGCCGTCCCCTTGTGGTCGAGGGGTGGCTGTCTCGGAGGAAGATTCTGGCTATGAGTCAGAGTTTATTCTCTCTCTCTCTCTCTCTCTCTAGTAGACAAGAGTGGATGCAAATAGCAATCGAAGGCCAGAAAAATACCTGTGCGTATGCACAAGAGGGGTGCGGACGGAGTATCTCACGCACGGATGGAGAAGCGAACCCCTCAATGCTGTTACAGGTATTCAGGAGCAGTTGTGACACCTGAGGCAAGATATAGTGCGGGGGTGTGAGGCGAAGATTCAAAGGTGCAGCAAGTATCCGGTATGTACAGTACGAGTACCGGTCTCGTAAAAACCCTCCAAATCCACTATCAGATCATCAGAAGAGATCGGCCCGCCATCCCACGATAGGCTTAGTCTGATAGGTTAGCAGAATTGAAAATACCGGTTAACGAGATCCAAGACACCCAGTGGGCTGATCCCATACCATGTCAGGAAAATTCTAATCCTTTCCGGGAGCCTTTGTCTCTAAAGCTAAAAGAAGACAGTAAATTTCAAAAGTTTTTACAGCATCATATCATACTCATACTAAACACGGTGGAGGATATTAGGTTTTAAAATTGGGGAAAACGAGGAAAAGGCACGAAAGTAGTAAAGCTGGGTTCGGGATCTGCCCTGTCTCACCTCGGGGGATTTCACGTAACGCATGATTGGTGTTTTAGGATATGATATCTGTATTCAGCCGTGTTGACGAGGTTCCATCTATCCTCACCTTTCGAGGAAGCCGGGGGTGATATAGCACCGGTACTGCGCCCTCAACACCTTCCCAAAATTTCGCTAGATGTGATCCACCATACCAACCGTTCCACAGGAGATTTCATAATCATGGACCATCCGCGATAGCGATTTTGTTTGCTTCGTGAAGTTTAGAGGAATCAGAGAAGATGTTTTTCCTTAGAAGAGAAAGAAAGGGAGAGACTGAGAAATAGCAAGGGAAAGGGGAACCAGAGGAGAGTGAAAATACGGTATTGTATGTGGTCTAGATTACCGCAAGTCCCACCTTCATGGGGGTGGTGGCTGTTTCTCCCGCAACCGCATCAGGCCTACTTATGCAGTCCAGCGGCTCCGCCGATCTCCATCTCCCACGCGAAACTCCCCCGATGCGCCCGGAGTCGCACAAGCCCTCTCAAAACGGTTTAGTTCCGGACCCTGCGGTGGCTTCCTTGGCACTAGAACCGAGGACCATGGATGATGCATGGATGAAGGATAGCCAATGAGCAGACATCATCAGTTCACCTCCTCTGAGCACTTGCGCCTCTGGCCACCTCCAATCATTTAGCTTCCATACGAGAATTCCCGGTACGCATTTTGGGGAAATGCAACAGAAACCCAGAAGAGCTTAGATGCCCAAACTCGGACCTCCCGCGCCGAAAGCAAGGCCACCCTGTACGAGTACTTGTACACCCCCAGACCCTACTAATACGGTAAATTTTGTCAGTGAGCAGTAAGAGGAAGGAAGAATGTACATTATCCCGAAGAAACAAACTAAAGTCTGTTGAGTGAAACATAATCACTATCAGGATTAGATTGGTATGATACCAGAAAATGTATTTTAAAGGTGGGAAATCCCATGAAAAAATCTGTCAAGGGATCATGAAAGACTGGCCGAAATCGCAGTACTCGAGCACCGTACAGGAATAAAGAGGAAATAAAAATAAAAAATCCCACAAGTGAGAATTTGAACCATGAACCATCAAATACGGTAGCATCATATGTAAAATGTACTAGTAAAGTACAGTATGATAATGGCACCGGTATTGATAGGGTCTAGGGGGGTAAAGAGGGTCTCACTTTCGGGGCGAGAGGTCCAAGTTTACAGTACCCCTACCGATGATACGCGGTGGTGCCGGTAGTTGATCGCATACCCGTCATAGATGGTGCCGGTATTGTAAGACGTTTTCTCAGAAGTTCAGCCCATACAGGATCGATTGGGCGAACCGCATTTGACATGATTCGCGCAACAGGCACGATGGACCCCTCACTCGCCGTAATTGAATGACTTTTGTGAACACAACTACTAATATACTCGAGTATTGTATACCGCCAAAATTAAGCTTTTTGCTTGAATCTCAGTGTTATGAACGCCGTTCCAACTCCGAGTACTCGTATTCGGCATGAAGTATCTGAGAATGAGACACCGCTGTTTTTTTTCTAGCACAGTGGTCGTGCGACGCTAGCCGTATCTTCGGATATGATGCTAATTGCCGGATACAAGTATTATACCGGTGCGGTAATAGGACGAACGAGGGGAGCAAAAAGCCTAGACTGATGATAAGAAATTCCAAGCCATCATGAACCAAGACAGAGCCCGTGTCAATTCAAGCTCTCAGTCAGCATTTCCTGTTTGATAGTATTGCATGGTACAGGTAGCTCTCCCCCCAAAAAAAGAGAAAGAAGAAAGGAAAAAGCACTGAGTGCATAAACGTATAATACGACACCCGAACTTGCGGCGCCAGAAGTCGCGCAGGGGAAATGTTTAACTCCCCTACTCCGATACATAAAGGCGCTCAACCGGGCCGCGGCATCTTGAAGTTTGGAACCACGATGCCGGTAGTTTTAGTACCGGTATTTGCACGAAAGCCACTCTGTGACAATGAAGCCTGCGCACTTCCCGACTCATCGCTTCTTGCACCAATCCCGAACAATTGATAAGGTTTCCCATAGGCACTATAGCATCCTGCAATTGCGGTGAGTCGAGAGACGAAAGCCTGAAGAAGTCCCGCGTCCCCTCGTCTCCACATGCATTTGTCTAGTCACCACACCAACATTCCCCCAAACTGTACTCAAGTGGCGGTGAGAGGATATTCCTCGCCAATTCCATAATGTAGGATGGACTTATATCCGCAATCACTTGATAATGAAGCCCCCATCGGTACTGCGCAGTGGGTAGACAGTAACCTGTCCAGACTGCAAATATCCGGAAGGTTCAATAATCAACTCGGGAAACACCATCGTGTACAGTACAGTACTCGTCCGCACCTAACTTGCTGGACCAATCCGTAAACACCAGACCAGATGAGAAACCTCCTCCCTTTCGGCTGCGTCTGCAAACCCAAGGAGTATGTTGCCGTGTCGGTGCTCGAGTACAGTACTCGAGTATCACACCCCGATACCCACCTCGGAGCCGTAACGGGAGAATGTATGGTATGATAACAGGGGAGAAGAAGAAAAGGACAAAAAAGACCACTAAGGGGTAGAGGAAGTTTGTGCAGCCGCATCAAGGGTCTACGAGTACAGGAATCAATCCATGTGACTTCTACCTTACTTGAGTAGGGTACGAATGGCTATGGTTACAGGCACCAGGTGAAGGCTTATTTCCTGTGCTTGAGCACCATAATATTATTATGTGAAAAAACCGTTCCACTAGACCCTGTCCTGAAGACTCATTTACTCAAGAAAGTCGCAGTACTCGTTAAATCCATCATCGGACTGGGAAGTGGTAATCATATGCTAAATGGCAGTACTCGAGTACAGTAGGCTTACCGGTAGCAGGTATAATGGAAAAGCAAAATTAGGAATACCGGTATGGTACTGTACCCGTGCCAGTTAATCGAGCACAAGTACCGGTATCGTAGTGAAGTCTAACAGGCCCAGCTTGCCCGAGCCATACCCGGTCTGGAAAACACTACGAGTATTCCTTCTTGGGGTGTTTGAATCGGGAGGGTGGATTTACCGGTACTTGTAAGTTGGAACGAGTAATGGGCACGGCACGGGATCGTTACAATACTGGTGGCACTCGAGCCGCGCCCGGATTCAGGGGAGAATTTGTTTTGCTTGTGGCACATGCACCAAGGGATGGCACGCCTTCGATCCGGCGGGCTCGTGGAGTTCTCGGGTGTCTCGATACTATTAATTTTAGGTATCGCCATCTTTTGCCGGCGGCATTCCAGGTACGATAGAATATCCTGCATTCCAGATCGACAGTTCCACAACACGGGCTAACCCAGCGCGACAAAGTTTTTGCACGCGCGAAACAACAAACTCCACGATAATGAGCAGATATCGTCCGAGGCCTGTTTTTGTGGATGAGTACGTTCTCCCCCACCTACCGGTGAGAACGATATGATATAATACCAACTTTCATAAAACTAACAACCCCCCATCCAGACTCCAGCCAAACTCCCCCCTAATCCTCTCCAGCCCATTCATTTCCCCGCTAGTCTTTGAGAACAATGCCAGCGACGCACGAGACCACTGTGCAAACGAGCGGAGTACTTCCTCCTTCTCCCCCAGCTCTTCCACGCTGCCAACTAACTAACCAACTAACAACACCAACAAGACTTCCTATCATGGCTTCGCCTCTCAATGTATCTCTGCATCGTCAGCGTTGCAGTCGTGATATCCTTTCACTTCAAGCATGAGCCCAGCGAGCTGGAAAAGGAACTCTCCCTTCCGCTCGGAATATGCTTTTGGGTGCTGAGTCTTGTGTGTTTGTTTGCGGGGTTGGGCAATTATGTCAAGACGTTTGTATCCCCCGTTCATCCCCTTACCGGTATCCCTGGGTGACTAATGCGGGGGGTGGGGCAGGATCGGGATGTACTCGAAGAAAGCTGCACTAGTACAATCGGGACCGAAGACGCAGTTTGTGAGTTGTATTCGCTCACGCATCTTTACCAAGAACCCCTTCGCCAGTCGATATTTTGCGCCTGTCTCGCAAATACGGTCGTTACGGGGCACAGGTGAAAAGAGGAGCAAGTGAAAACATGGATCACCTCCACCGGGAGAATGAATGAGAGAGTGCCAGGCAGATATTGTGGCTAAAGATCTGTTTTCGTTTGCTCTATTTTTCACATGCTTCCCCGTAACAGCTTTGTTTGGTGAGGGCTTCCACGGGGTATTAGCTGGCAAAAGTATTCTTGGCAATGATGCGTAATTATCATACATTCCCTGTTATATGTGATCTTGGGACTGACTGGGGAGTAGGTCATGGTGATAGTTGCGGTGGCGGTTGTCGCGGCATGGTGAGTTTTATGCTAGCTAGCTACCTAGCTGTCCCAGTACATATTAATAGACTCTGGTTGCTGACTGGGAGTTTACCGACAACTGTAGTGTGCTGTTTTTGTCAACTCATGCGAAGAGGACCCCGGACACGTGATTGTAATGTCACTACTGTGAAGAACGGTGGAGAATGGCTTATCTGTGATATTTAGGAGGGGCTTGGTTTGAAGAAACCAGTATGCTGTAGTGGCAATGTTTACGATGCAGGTTTTCTCGCTCGATATCCTAGTTTTTGCGGGTCGATCTTGAAGAGGGTAGACATGTTCCGGAATTTGTATTGAGCTGTAGGGGTGTAGGAGTGAGGAATGGAGTCGTCTGCTTGTATTTAGTTCAATTATTCCACATACTTTGATATATATAAAGCGCTATTGCAATTAAGAGATTTAATGCAGGAGGAGGAAAGTGAAAAAAAAGACACCACCCCCTCCAACAAAGTCACCAAATTTCAGCTCCAACCAGCAGGTATATTCCCAGCCCCCCCCAAAGATATCCCAGATTAAAGTTATTGCCATACCACCGAACGGCCCATTCCTGGGCTATATGTTATGTTATGCTTGAATGCAACCCTACGATGCCTCCCTTCGACTCTACACCATTATCCTCCTCAACCCCTCCGTCCCACCTAGCAACTTAACCCCCGTAATTGGACAGTACCCCTTCGCCGGATCCTCCTGCCCGTCCTGCACCCAGCGGAAAATACACGGGTAGCAGAACACGTAGCCCGTCTGTAGAGCTGTCGGATTCGTCAACTCCTCCAAGCAAATCGGACACACTCCGCTATCCTCCGGGGAGGGGATCAACTTCCTCCCCTGCCTCTCCAACCCTGCACTACTCCTGCTGCTATTGCGCGGGTAGTAGTCGTCCTCCCCCTCACCCTTGGAGGGTGGGGGCACGATGGCCGGTGGTGGGAGTTCTATCGATGCGGCGGTCTTGGCGGAGAGTTGCCTAGCAAAGTCGGATGCGTGCCACCACTCTAGGAACTTGAGGAAGAATATGGAAGTTGGGAGGAGGATCTTTAACGAGTCGAGGATCGGCGGGAGGATGAGGCGGGTCAGGGCTGTTACGGAGAGTAGGGATGTGGGGGTTAGTGGTGTGGAGCCGGATCGTGGGAGGGAGCGGGAGGCGGCTTCGAATGCTCGCTGTTTTTTTGGGGGGAAAGCTGGTTAGTGTGGTGGATGGTGGGGGGAGAGAGGGGGTGTAAATTACGTGATCGGCTTCTGTCAGTCGTCTCATGCGGATCTTGACTAGCCAGTGGAACGGCGTATGGTATTGTGATTTATCAAAGAGGTAAGCTAAATTGAAGGCTAATGTTGAGAAGTAGTATGCTGCGTTGATGGCTGGGTAGATCTTTCGCAGTAGCCGTTTCAATTGGTAGATTATCTTTTCTCTGGGCGAAGCCTTTGCGAATGTTAGTTTCTGATCCAAAGTGGAGCAGCGGAAAATATAAACGTAGGTAACACACATTCACTTCCGGCTCACCCCTTCCGCGATATCCCGCGCCGAACAGGTTCGCAGCAGCACCTCCTGCGTGAATCTCATACGCATCATCTAGTTTTCTCTTCAAATACGGAACACCAACCTATCCACTCCCCCAAATCAACCAATTAGCACCGTTCACCCACCAATTCATCAGAACAACCCCCCTCCCAATGGGGGAGGAAGAAAGAAAAGAAACATACAATAATAAACAAACTCTTCCAAACATCCAATCTCCTCAGTTTTGTGCTCGAGGCAAGTATATCGGGTGCTGCCTTTGAGGCCCTCGGCAACTCTTTCGCAATCACCCTCTCCCTCTTGATTCCGTAGAAGTTCTCCGTGAAGCTCCCGCCCCATCGCCGTATGTAGTGCCGCTCAATCAAGAGCATGAGTAGAGCGTACGCCTCATCGAAATTGTTGAAGATGTGGATTAGGTAGCGCGGGTGTCGCTGCGTGGCTATGGCCAACACGTAGCGGATTGATGGCTCTAGGAGGTCGCGGAGTTGGGTTTCGGAAATTAGCTCGAAGAGGGAGGGTTTTGACTCGTCGAGGCCTGAGGAGACGTTGGACATGAACTCCATGGTTGAATCGAGGGGGTGGGGTTGGGGCCCGACGTGTATGATGGGGAGGAGGGTCGATGGAGGGAGAGGGAGGTGCTCAGTTGCGGCGGATTTAGACCACCAACGGTTTGGATTTTGCTGGGGGCGTTGTTGCAGTTACGGTGTTTGGTTGCCGCAACCGCGGCTCTCGGGAGATGAGCATGCCATGAACCGGGAGCAAGTTTATGGTGGTATGGAATGTTCGGTTGGTAGTGTAGAAATTGGTCTTCATTTTTGTTGACTTACGGCTTCATGCTTAGTTATTGCGGTGCGGCGCCGCCGTGCATGAGCAGAGTGCTTCAATACCTTCTGCTCGTCTTCTACTTGGGTTTCGGATCAACGAAATTTTAGTGCTTTTGGAACATCCCTAATGAGTTCCCCGATGCTTTATGAATCACCTTCGGGGCACGTTGTCCTTCTGGATATACCCTCCTCCATCTCGAGTCCCCCAGGACTACGGCTCTGCTCTAGCTCGCCTCCGGAAACTCCGTACGTTCTCCCAGAGCCCAAAGGTAATCCCGTAAGCCAGAGCTCCATAGAAAGTACAGACGAGATCCGAACCCTGGTATTAGAGGCCCTTGAGCATGTTGGCAAAAATTACAGTGGACCATTTCTTCTCCCCAGAATAACATTAGAAGCTGGGGCCCAGATAACCGGAGAATTAGACTTCCATGAGAATGTATTACTGCTTCAGAATCCAGACTCCTCATCCTCCCCGGAGTTTCTGGACCTTGCCCCCGAGCAAGAGCCAGCGATTGAAGAAGTTGACGACATCTCAGACATGTACTCGACGCCAGTATTCTCAACGTCTAGAGCCTGGCGAACTCTAGCCATCCTCCACCCGGCTCCCCAGAAGTACTTCTACATCCCCCCGAGCTCCTCTTTCCTCCTCTCAGACTTCCGAACATCCATCCCGGCATTCACTGCCATCTCCACCCATTTGCGGGGATTTCACCTGGTCCTGCTCGACCCCCCATGGCCCAACAAGTCTGCAGCCCGGAACAGAACTTACACCACCCTGAACAGATTTGACATACAGCAACTCCAGTGTATACCGCTCTCCCAAACCCTTGTACCTCCCGACCCCGCCTCCGGGATTAAAGGAGGTCTAGTGGGAATCTGGATAACCAACAAGCCCAAATTCCGCTCCTTCGTTCTCGGAAACCTGTTCCCGCAGTGGGGCGTCGAGCTCGTTGGTGAGTGGGTGTGGGTCAAGATTACTACCTGCGGAGGGCCTATTTTCGACATGGAAAGTCGGACGAGGAGGCCGTACGAAGTGTTGATGTTTGGGCGGAGGAGGAAGAAGAGGAGCGGAGGGGAGGGAGGAGTGAGCCGGCGTGCCGTGAGAAAGCGAGGAGCTGAGAGGAGGGAAGAAGCTGGTGGCGATGCAGCTGTAGAAGTGTTCCCGAGAAAGACTATACTAGCAGTTCCGGATGTTCATTCTCGGAAACCGTGCATTAAAGGTGATTTTGTGTTTCTCGGGCCTGTGGGCAGGCAGGCTTTCTATCGATTTTTTTTTTTTTTGCTGACTTATGGAAGAACTTATCGAGCGGCACCTGCCCCCGGAATACAACGCATGTGAGATATTTGGTAGGAATTTGACGCAGGGGTGGGTGACGTGGGGTGACGAGGCTATCAAGTATAATTGGAACGCGTATTGGAGTTTAGGGGGTGCGGGCGCAAGGTTCTGATTGATTTGGTATTGCCGGATGGTCGATAAATGATAGATAATTGCTCAAGCGGAAGGAGAATAGAATACCGGTAGAGTAAAATAATAATCACCTTATCTACTATAAACTTCTTCTGCAACAGAAGCTGTAGTATGATAGAATGACTAACTCGAGTTATACTACCATAGTAGAGTGTGAACCGCATCGGCCCGTTCGACCAGCTAACGGCATTTGACTTGCTACTATAGTCTATTGTAGTTGCTTCGTTCCTCCCCAACCCCCCAAGACGAAGCCGCAGGGGTCGGCCATGAGCGATCACTCGAAGGCGCGAGCACACAAACTGTTGGAATATTTGGCTTCTCAGGATCCGGTTACCTGTAGTTGACATCATCGTATACCTTTAGTATACAGGAGCCAATATGACCACCTCATCACTACCATAGTTGTGTGGTGTGACTGCTATGTACTTGTAGTATATAAGGTCTCCACTTGGGCAGGAAGCAGAAGTGAGGAGAGCACCGAATTAAGATTTTTGATACAACAGGTTATGAGCCCGGACTGGCGCATCTACCCATCTACATATTACCTACAACACCTATTACGGAGCACCCTGTCTTCCTTTTTATACTATGATGTCGAGTAGCATACACAGTCTGAGTACGGGTGATATTTCCTATGAAAATATCTATCGCTGGAAGTATGGTCAAACACATGTACTTATTCCAACCAATTACCATTGGTGGTCCCAAGATCTTCAAGCCTTCCTGGAAATTGAATGGGCATTTCAGATCGTCACGCGACAGGAAGAGGAGCCTCCAGCGAACCCAGCTCCACGCTATGCCGCTTGGGAAAAATGTCAGGTAAAAGCTAAGGTTATGATATTTACCTCTTGTAGTCCAGCAACCCGTCAGCAGATCAATCTTGCTATGGAACCCTGGGATATGTGGCAAACCTTGAAAGTGAAATATGACTCTACCGCCTCAAGAGCAGGATGATTTGCTCTGAGGAGACGCTTTAACTACCTTCTTTTATCACAGTTTACCTCGGTTACTGCTTTTATCACTGAGCTAACTAAACTACACCAACAACTTGCTGGATCTACAGAAGAGGTTACTGATTCAACCTTTATCTTACAACTTGTTCCGGACCTTTCAAATGAGTATGATAGAATAGTTGAAATCATGTCCCGCGATCCGAAACTTACAGTAGATGACTTCATTACTGGAATTGTGGAATGGGATGCAGAGCTCTCAAACAAGAAAAGTTAAGTCTCTGGTGCAAGCTCTACAGACTCTGCCAATACTGCTCTGCTTGCCAGTAGCCAGTCTGATGCCCTCTTCACCAATACCTCAAGAAGTAATAGGCACCACTTCAGACCATCCTATGGTATTCGTGGATACTGAAGTGGTGGCAGAGATGGAAGACGATTTAGATGCAAGCAAGGAGCACACAACACTGGAAGTAGAAGAGGTTGGAGTAGTGGAAACCAGAGTGGCATTGAGTGCTGGTATTGCACTCAGAGAGGCCATACCCAACAGGAATGCTGCCTAAGGAAGTGGGCAGAAGAGCTAAAACAGAGAAGGCACCCAGCACCCACTGCAGCCTATGCTACTGTGGATATTGAAGAGCTGTGTGCCTTAGTTGCAACTGGTAGAAATAGGAGAGAGTTACCAAAGACTTGGGTAGTAGACTCGGGAGCGACGGACCATATCTGTCCAGAGAGATATGCTTTCCACCAACTGAAAGCTCTTATCAAGCCAGTAGCTATCACACTGGACGATGGAAATAAAGTATGAGCTAAAGCAAAAGGGATAATTTAGCTACTTCTATGCAAGTCGCATTATATCGATATCGAAGTACTCTATTCACCTGAGATGAAGTTTTCCCTTCTCTTAATTAGTTCTCAGTCACACGAATTTGCAATTGCCTTCCGGGAAGGTGTGTGTTATATTTCTCGCCAGCGAATAGGATCCAAGGAAGTCCCAATTGCGTAACTGCAGCAGGGCCTATGAAGACTCTATGGTAATCCCATTCCTAAGTCTCGGATACCCACAATCCAATCCTTAGTCAAAAGTCAGAAGAGTATGACTTTAGCTCTTCCCTCTGCCTCAAATACTCAATACTCTACAAGCGATCTCTTAGTCTATATTACCTCTACTAAGGACAATGAACTTACTAGTCTATGGCACCAAAGACTAGGACACTTGAACTTGGCTGCCATCAAGCTTATACTAGGCTGTAAGACTCCGCTTACTGATAGCATTTGTGAGACTTGTGTGAAAACCAAGCATTACAGGAGATTTATTAAAAAGCTTGTTCCAAGAGCTACAAGGCCTTTTGAGACCATCCATTCCGATTTGTGTGGCCCCTTTAAGTCGCTCTCCTTTTCCAGAGCTCGATACTTTATTGTGTATATAGACGACTACACACGCTTCTGTTAGGTCTATTTCCTTTATACTAGAGAGGCAAATGAAGTTACTAGTCATTTCCAAGAGTTTCGCGAAAGGATAAGAAAGATATTTCCGCAGTAGGAGATATCTAGGTTTAGGTGTGATAATGGAAAAGGTGAATATAATAATACCTTCTTTCGTGGAATTCTTAGTGCTGCAGGCATTCAATTCCAGCCAGCCCCACCATACTCACAACACAAAAATGGAATCAGTGAGCGGATGATACAGACTATACTCTGTAAAGCTAGAGCTATGCTTTTGGATGCCTGTCTACCTCCTGCACTTTGGGCAGAAACTATCAATAGAGCTGTCTATTTACACTCACTATCTCTTTTATGCTCAATTGGAAACAAGTCTCCTCATGAGATGTTACATAGGACAAAGCCAATCCTGGATCACCTTAGACGATTCGGATGTGTAGCCTATAAGCGGATTCCTAAGGCACAGCAGAAGGATACCAAGTTTAGCAACCGATCAAAGAGCTGTATCATGTTAGACTATACAGCAACTACTACAATATGGTGATTGTGGGACAGCGATATAAAGACAACTATTCGTGCTTCAGATGTGATCTTTGATAAGTCCTACCTAGCCAGTACACTAGTTCACTCAGAAGACATATTTGGTTTTCTACTTCCAGAAAAGCCAGAAGTCATAGAAGTTGAAGAATCTAAGCTTACAGAGGATAAAGAAAATGACAAGCCCGAAGAGCCAATCTCAGAGACCCTAGTTAGTAGGGAAATTAATACTGTTATGGAGCCATGCCTGAGTAATAAGCCACAGTCTGAAGTAATGGAAATAGTTCTACCACCCAGAAAGGCCCAATCATGGCCTCCACAACAGAAGACTCATAAGGAGTACAGGAAACCTCTGGCTGTATTAGAGGAGTTAGAGTTGTGCCGTTCTAGCCATTTGAGAGGAAGAGCTACTGCTGTACTCACACGTACCGTACCTTTTATAGGAGTGAGTGATGATCTACT